TGGTCCGATCAACTATAGATAAGAAAACCGCGTAAACCGAGCCAAATCAAGATTGACCAATTCAACAGTGAACTGATGTATATAATAATTTTAATAATACATAAATTATATATTTAATTACCATAAACGAACTCTAACTTTACAAAACGTAACCGAAGATAAAAAATTACTAAAAATTATTACTTATTTTATATATATTATGAATCAATTAGCTGATTTTTATCACATAGTATTTGATCTAGTATTGCTCACATGGTTTTAGTTTTAGTATCACTTGACCAATACTCGCGCATACGCGCGGGTTTTGTTTGATATATAATTTTTGGTCACATGGATTGAAGGATGACAATTTTTTTAGCGTTTCCATCCTATGAAGATAGATGTTATATACTGATCAAACCTATCGAATGAATAACCATACTTGGGACAATGGTGTTGGGGTGATTTTTTTTGTTTGGCAATTTTAGTAAAGACAAAATGGTGGAAGTTTTGTATTCATTTTGTTGATATTTAGACAAATAGAGAAACGTAAAGACATGCAAACACGTAAACTGAGAAAACATGAATTGTTGTCTACACTCGATGAGAAAGATGTTTTCACCCTCGTTACAACTTCACGTAATCTTGCAATGTAGACAACGACTTTCATGTTTGGTAAGATTCCCTGTAAAAACTTTTATATAAGGAACTTAGAAGAAGCTCGTCTTGTGGATAAGCTATCATGAAAAATCTCTGGTAAAATCCACTTTTAACACGTTATAGCATATCATATATCTTTGATTATCCTCTGTTTTGAAAACTACAATCATCATTTCTATCCGTATTGTGAACATAATCAGACATGTGTGAAGATCTATATGGATGTTTTGTCCAATTTGAGTAGGTAATAATTTTAAATAAACTCAAAATAAGATGGGAGAAGTGTCAAATGAATGAAGGTGGATGGTAAGAGTTCTTCCGTCATCTTCCCACCATTTCCATATTCCCACAAACACAACACATCCCATGATATATTTGTAGGAATTTCAATTTCTAGACAGGAACATTAGATCGAGAAGAGTGAAATATAAAATTACAATGGAACCACCAAGAAACGCAATCCAAGAACGAATCAAATGGCTATTTCAGTTGTTAAAGATAATCGGAAACGTGTAAAAGGAATAAACATATATTTAAAATTATGTTTAAACAGCGAGATAAGCTAGTAATAAAAGTGTGCATATAGTAGAAAACTTACACTTGTGTTTTCTTTTGTAATACCCAATTTTAGAGTTTAGATATTGAGAAAACTCAATAGTCAGTGAGAGTAAGAGCTCACACGCTGAATTTTTGTTGTTGTTGGAGATGTCTTGCCTTATCTCCCTACGCGTGAATCACATTGGGGTGGTGTATATACAATTCTTCCAACCTGCAAAATATCATGTTAGAGAATAAGATGAGCATTTAAAAAAGATACCACAAACACTGAGAAAAAGTCATAAGAATTATGTTGATAACAAATTAGACTTTTCACTTGGATTTACAAAGCGTCTAGTGACCTTAACCACTATTAAGATTTGGGAAAGTTTCTAAAACTGCATTTAGAACGCTAAACTAATTCAGTCATTCTCAAAAACTTCAAAGTAAACTAAATATGTTTTTATATACAAAAGTTATTTCCAATTGTAAGCCTATTCAAAAGAAGAATCAAAAGAAGATGAAGAAACGACTTATACCAGAAGAACATCGACTCCTTTACAGAGGAATCTCTCATTCCAGTATTATGCTTTGCTGAGCTGAATCATTGTCAATGTCAATAGGCAGTGAACGACTTTCAAGAAGACACGAATTATGAATTTAAAAAATGTAAACTAACATCATCTGTGGCAATAGAGAATGTAGAAACCAAATCCAAATTTTTTATTTTTTTATAAACCATTACAAACATGGAGATAGTCACAATAAGTCATAGTTTTTTTTTTTAAAAAGAAAGAAAGAATAAGTCATTGTGGTAAAGTAAAAACAAGGTGGCATAATATGGTTATGACCTTTTGTCACATTACCTCTAACATGAATACATCGTGAAAAAATGATTTTACATTCCTCAGTTTTAACCTAAGGAGTCTAAGTAAAATCAGCATATTCGGGAAAGAACATTCTAGTATTGAATTATAATCACAATTAGCAAACGGGATGGAGAAGACTCAATCCTAAAGCAGAATTCAACACTCACACACATTTCATTACCAAATTATATCATATATAGAGAGTGTATTGTTATTGAACAGAAGAGCTCTAAGCTCCGTAAACCCTTCCTTCATGGTGCACCAATTCAATGTTCTGTCCACCATCTGAATCATTGATTCCAATTTCAATCTTATTGAGTAAGCTTTTAAAAGAGCTTCATAGAAGTCTTTTAAAATGGAGGCAGAGTACATTAGTCTTACACTATTTTTATTCCTTCGTTAAACATTGGTGACATCCATGAAAGAAATCTTACAAAAGTGAAGCTTCTTTCTCTTCCTTTTGCTTACGAAGAAATCGTCTTTGGCTCGGGACGAGCCGGTGGAGGTGACGGTTTGTAAGCCATGCATCGAAGGCAATTTCGGCAAGTAAGAACCCCTTAGATCCTCAGTTGATGCCAAGCCTGAAGCTATCTCACATAATTTGATCAAAACGCAGAAACAGGGAAAACCGGCGAGGAAGACTTCTTCTTGAAAACGTTCATTCAACCGCCCCAAAATGACAGGAGGAAGCCAATCCTTACCTTTTCGAGAGCCTATATTTTAGATTGACAATACGATGAAATAAAATTCCTAAAATTAAGTTTCAGAAAAAAGAAGAGTAAATGGTTACAATTAGAAAATGCGTTTATTGATTGACTCTTATTATGTAGACTACTCTAATGTACTTATACAGAGTTTCATAAATAAAAACATAACTAAGAGCAATAAAGATTCAAACAATGTATGATATTTTCCTAATTTCTTATTTAGAAGTCATCGATGTGGTCAAACATGGTGGATGAACTTAACCCTTCTACACATTCTCTTTTTGCCTTCTCTAGAGACAATAACTTCCCATATATGCGAGAAGCAGAATGTATCTTTAGAAAAAGTTCGAAGAAGCAATCAGAACAAAGAATCAAGAAACTGTGAAAAGTTCCTGACATTTCTTTTGAAGCCCTGATAAAGTCCTTGTCTTGCATGTCTTCTCTAGTTGATAAACCCCACAACAGCGTCAAGCAACTGTGGAAATCCATGAAATGAGTTAGAATTAGCCTTAATTTCTATAAAGAAATGCTCAAAAAGCAACAAAAGATAAGTACTTGGCCCGACTTTTCCGCAGGATCCCAATCGGTATTACTCATATATATCTTTAATTCCACTGGAGGAAACATGATGTGCAGAAGTCTGCTACAGACCAGACATTATTTACATCACAATCAAAGCTGATTTGTAAGAAATAAGTACACTCATCATCACCAAAAGACTACATATTCGTCGAAATCCTAAAAAGGTATAAGTTTCTAAAGGTGTGTTGTTTAAGGTTAGAAGGAATAAGACTGAGGTTGTCTGTTTCTCGCTCCAAGCTATTCACAAATGGTTCCTTATAGCATCAAGTGAATATTCCAAGTTAACTTAAATCCAATAATTTTATACCAACTTTTATACAGAATCACAATCCTACTTGCATAAAGTAAGCATGTAAAGCAGAAAAAGACAATGAACCTCAGCCGCTAGTTAGTCTAAATCAACAACTTACAGTTTCATGGATTTGGAGATATGAAGAAATACCCCATGGACAGCAGCTAGTTGTTGTTAATTATGGATACAGTAAAGACAAATACTTACCCTTTCATCGTTACCGTGAATCTGGGGCTGTTAGGCTTGGGCCTTTGAAGAGCTTTGGTAATGAAAATCATTGAGTATTAACTTGGTCCGCGACTTGGTTTAGTCACTTAGGAATGGGTTTATTTCTATTGGG